AAAAAATTGATATTTTATTATAACTTAAAGTATCATATTTTCTACTAAATATATACTTATGAATATCTAAATAATCAAATGTCATAATCTATAACTTGATATATACAATATAATCAATATAACTCTACAACCTATGATGATCCAAGATATTCTGCCCAATTTTCCACACCAAATGATGATCCAAGATTTTCTACCGATGGCTGAAGAATTCTTTGGTATGACTTTGCCTTAGAGGATAGACATGAACATCTACAAAAGCTTAAAAATTACTTCCAGTTAGCACCAATAAAGAAAATCAGTTGTGGTCTTCTAGTATCATCATGAGCCCTTCATAATCAGTTTTGTAGTCTTCTAGTTGTTGCTAATCTTTTGGTTTCACCAACACGCTCTTCCAAAAGCAAAACTTCCTCATGTTTTTTACAAGGAGGTTGAACAGTCCTGCTCCTAGGAGCTTTCTTTTCTGATTCTTGGGAAGGTTTCAAGCATTTTGATGCTCGACCAATTGGAATAGGATTCTTCGATATATATTCCATATCGTATATACTTGAATCAAAATTGGTTATAGCATTTGCACCTTTGTACTTTAGGGCTGCAACGTCGGAGGCCTATGCAGCTTTGTCTTCTTCGGTTTCTATAAACATACAAGAATCAAGAATATTCAACTTTAAATTCAGAATATTGAACTTCAAATACGGTGTGATAATGTTGATTCAGAATTACTAATGTCCTGAGTGTGTGAATTAAAGGCATCTCAAAACATATATGGATAAAAATCTATGAGATTGGTTAAAATATCAGCAGAATAAGCTAATAGTGTTATTCTGGAGTATCAGGCATTTCTCTAAATCCAATTATATTGTATAAAATAGAAAATTATTAATATCAGAAGATGAAAGAGCTTGCCAAATGTTCCCAAGTATCTATCTTTGTTTTCAGCCACTCGACCAATTCTTGCTTGCCATTTACCACTTTGGCGGTGACTGAAGGATCCAAACTAAAAAACATTAGAGATACAAGAGAATGATAATCACTGGATAGTATATGGGGGTTTCAAATTTCAAACCTTGTAACACCTCTATATTTTGAAGAGACAAGTTACATCATCACCATTCACCTCACTAACTTGCATTGTAAAATAAATACTACTTAGTGTATAAAACAAAAATGTATACTTGAACCTTGACCATTGTCTACTACCACTTGAACCTCATAATAGAAAAAACACTTAACCTCATAATAGAAAAAATCTTGTCAGATCTATCCTTGCTAACTTCTATATTATCCAACCTCAACCTGAAAAATGGGTGGCATCGAGACGTTTAGGACACAAATAAATATCTTTGGAGTCCCTGTCATATTGCATTCCTTAGAGCACCCTGCATTAATATAACACACGTAATTTAAAAGAACATTTAACATTTCAATTGGAATTCCATCTCTCAAACAAATTCCAAGAAAAGAGAAGTCGATGTTACCTTGACATCAGAAGCTGGTACTATCTCATTGCTTTTTGGCTCCAACTTTTTTGTTTCGTAATATTTTGATATTGGCGATGCAGCATCTCTGAGATAAATAGCTCCGACTTTTGAGTCTGAAATATTGTCAAGAACCGGGAGTTCAGGCTTAGAACCTATCGTAATTCTCCTATCAAACTTCGACGGACAAGGAGGAACGACAACGGCTGCTGCGGTTGAAGAACGGAATGCAGAGAGGAGGGAAATGTTATGTGTGATTTGTATGCTGGAACTGCAGAAGAAAGAAACAAAGTGCAGAAACGATGGATGGAGGACGAACAAGGTTGAAGAGGTACTCAAATTTGATGGGAAAATTAGAATTACACTTACAACATTGGGAAAACCCTCCACTGAAGATATTCAAGGCGTGTCAGTCAGACTTCAAATTTTTATTCTCCACATTGTGGAAGTCTAACCCCGTCCGCTAGACCCCATATCCTTGCCAAAGATAGATCTAAACACTAATGTTATTCATGGTAGATGATACCGTCAATAACCAATAGTCTTGACATAAATCAAACAACATTGAGTCAGTGATTGTTCACAAGCTAAAAGAAAGAAAACTTAGGAGTATCATTCTTAGAGAATGAAAAACAACCACCACTACTACCATAGCTTTGTCCCACCAAGTGGAATCAGCCACAAATATCAAATGACACATATCAAACCATAAACATGTTTTGAAATGTACGTAATCAGCAATAAACCCAACTTACTTGAGAGGATTTGCTAAAACACGTTGAGCTAAGGTTACAAAGCTAGTTTCTTGATTCGACATGAACCAAGCCAAGGATGAGACACTGCAGAAGTATCAGCAAGCAATATGTAAGCAAATGAGGAGGAGCTAAAGTTCAATAGTGTAACTTCATTTAATGAATTTCTTAAAGGTGAATCCCTTCCCGTAAAAACATGTTCCCAACTTACTTGAGAGGATTTGCTAAAACACGTTGAGCTAAGGTTACAAAGCTAGTTTCTTGATTCGACATGAACCAAGCCAAGGATGAGACACTGCAGAAGTATCAGCAAGCAATATGTAAGCAAATGAGGAGGAGCTAAAGCTCAATAGTGTAACTTCATTTAATGAATTTCTTAAAGGTGAATACCTTCCCGTAAAAACATGTTCCCTCACTCCGAGAATTGTTGGAGAGCGACGGCCATGATTCGCATGAAACTCCTCAAGAAGATTTCTCATTTTCATAGCCTCCTCAAGATAATTGTCCTAGAAAACAAAATGTTTCCAATAAATGTGTCTGGAAAAACTGATCAAGTCACTTTATCATTTACATCATATATTTAACGGGATACAATATATTTCTCAACTAAATATTGCTAGTCCCTCCCGAACACCTAGTAAAACTGAATATGTATTTCAAGTTAATGAATAATTCACAAGCACTAATCTGTTTATATAGGCTATTCTAACCTAAAAGGCATGACTAATGGACTACTAGGCCGAATACCGATTACTACTACTATTAAATATATAAAAAAACATTATTTACAACACCTAACATCGGCTAGTGAACCAAATAATGATCAAAAAACAATAAGTAAATGTTTGAGAAACCGCATTAACTACATATATGGCCAAGTAGTCCATGAGAGGGTTGTAAAATTCTCATTTCATGATCTTGCTTTTTGGATTGAATTAGGCCTAGCCCAAATTTGAAGATACAAAATACTACCCAAGATCTGTTGGCCACCCGTATTTGTCCATGATTCAGATTGAAACGCACAACATGAGGAGTGTGTTTTGAGATGTAACATTCATGAGAGATATGACCATAGTAGTCTTTATAAGGCTTAAAAAATTCTCATCTCTTTCGATAACTTTTCAGATTGAGGTAGGGCTCACAAAATTCTAAGAATGTACAACGGGAGAAAAAATATTTTGCAAATAAAAGCCAAAAAATAGGATCAGGGCAACGTACTATAGGATAAAATTTGCTAAACAGTGAGACTGCAAGATATAATATGATATATAAAAAAAGCAAGTATCAAGCATAATTGTTGAAGAGACAAAAAGAGATAATTATCATGAGAAAATGTCCTGACTTGATTCATATCAATAGTTTGTAGTGCATCACCACGAGTGAATACTATTGCATGGTTTTGGTTCTCAGGCTTTCCTTCACCCAGCTTTGGATCCCCAGGAAGTTTGATAAAATATATTTCCTTTGTGCAAGAAGAGCATAAAGAACCCGGCAATGAAAAGAACACAATATTTAAGGAAGAAAACTGTATTTGATCAACCATATTTTATTAACAACTTGGTAATCCACGGAGCAAATAAAGTCCCAAAATAGCACCATGATTGCTATTTCAATAATGATTGACAAAGTATCCAATCCAAGAATAAAAAACAACATTGAAACTGAAAATAAAAAGGATGACAAAAGAATGAATTTAGGAAACTGAAAATAAAAAGTATCCATCAAGGCCCTGTGTATAAGGTAAGCAAACAATTAACAATAAATCTCTTTGAATAAAAAAAGTTTATTCCCAAATATAATACCAATGGACAAAGATAACTTATCTACTAAAAAAAGTAACTAGAGGTAAGACAAAAGCCCTAGAAATAATCATGTCCATTGCACCAAAGAGAGGTTATAAACAAATAAACAATTTCTCTACAATAACTACTTTCACCGTTTCCTTGTTCAAATGTATAGAAAAAGAAAACATAATGAAAATAAGCTTGGTGCAATTATGTAAATCAAAAGTCAAAACAAAAATGAAAATGATTTCTCAATTGGAAGATGTCTTTGCTAAATCTTGGAGAGGTCCTCGAATCGGTTATGCATGTAACAAGCTTGGTGCATATGATTTATATGCTCCAGCCTGAGGGGGGATGCTGAAAATTTATTACCGATTAATGTATTATTTGTATATAATTTGTATTTATATTTATTTTGTATATTTCCTAAATCCTATACAAATGTGACCCCGTTTATAGTTTAGACACAGTCTCACCGCTCACCATATGTATTTATGATTTTCTCTCTTTCGTCACAGATAAAAACAATAAACAGCAGTGCAGACAAATTCATCACATTTTAGGCATAAAAATAGTCACCAGTCGCATTAATATGCTAATCTTAAAAATGGGAAGACTTGTAGTATATCACCCAAGCCTGATACTGCAGGTCATTAGGTTTGTTTAGAACCTGCTAGTGCAGGTCATTCTTATCTGCTGTATAAAAGCAGAATTGTTGTACCTGTTTTGTAACAACACAATAACAGAAATACAAAAGTTGGTTAGAAGATGAAAAATCCCTCTCTCTCTTTCTCTTATCCCTTTCTAATACTAACAAATACACACACAAAAAGATAGATACTCTCAAATTTCAAATATGCAACTGATATTTGACATTAGGAAGGCATCTAAAGCACACTTCATTCTATAAAATATTCAAGAAAACAGTAATGTCTGACTGCCACACATACTAAGCTACTATCACACAGATGCCCATATAAAATATCTAATCAGACTGCCAGTCTTGACACTAAGAGTTCTTGGTAAATGAGCACACGATTTTGATACCTCTGCAACAACAAAGCAATATCAGCAGCTTCTGGTGCCTTTCGCTGCTTTTGTTGACCATAAATTTGGCATGATACAACATAAGTAAACTTCAAATCTGCCTGTGCCCGTGATTCTCGGGATGATTCAAAATCTTGACTTGTAATGAAATTGTTTTGAGAATAATTGTCCACTATAGATATAGCAGATGTCAACAAATATACATGTCAAGCTTAATTAGAACAATAAAAAACATAAAATGACAGTGCAACACAAAATGTTTTTATTTAACTACCTCCCAGTGATCTGCTCTCTAGATAGCTCTGCAGCACCAAAGCTCTCCTGTAATACATCATGCCACATACTGCAAATTGAAAGAGGAAGGGATTGAAGAAACATCAGCGCAGTGTTCAGGGAAGAGACCAAAATTTCAGGAAATACACTATTTACTCATCAACTCATGTCAAATGGAAACATAAACTCAGACAAATAGGATTTGCCAAGAATTTATAACCTGTTCTTGCCAGAGTCTGCCCTCGATAAGATGCCCAAAAACGAAGTTCCAAAGTGTCACTAGAACTTTCTTGAAGTTATGCATCCTCAGTAGAAGAAACTCGACCGATTATTTCAAGAAAGTTGTCCCATTCATCTGCAATATAAAACAGTTAATTTCAATCCTAAACTAGCAAAGTTCATCATAGCAAAACCCATTCCGTGTTTTACTCCTATCCACACACAGCTATAGCTTTTCACACAGTTCTTTCTTGACAGATAAATTAGCATGATAAATTTACTTCCCCTCTTACTTTTATTTTATTTTTTCTTTTGCTCTAAAATTGGATAAGATTGGGGAAGGGAAACACAGTAGGGTAATAATGAAGTTTCAAGACAATGATTAATGGATAAAAATTGCAGGTGTGAAAAGTAAATACAACTCTTACAAGGGTTCAGTCGGTCAATATTTAGAAACATAATATTGTATTAGTGTTCTTTCACAAAAAGTCAGGTAAGCTTTCAATTTTACATCATGATTCATTAATATACTCAGATACATTGAGTACTGAGAACTCTAAGAACTTTAAACATTAACATTTTTATTCTTCACAAAGGGGAATCAAAGAGAATAGAAACATTACCTGGAAATATCTTTTGAAGATAGAATAGAATAGATATTCCATCTTCATTCTCCTTTTGTAATTCAGATGTACTATAAAGCACAGTTTCACTATAGTATGGAGTGAAAACGCTATAACAAACAAAAAACAAGCATCAAATGATAATGTTGAGAAAGATAGAGAGAACTAACACAATAAAATATTTGCATAAGCACTCATCAGACACTTTCAACTCTTATATAACACAGTACAGACACTTCGATTTCACTTTTAACTCTTACCACTTTTAAATTCCCCATCTAATTTGGACCAAACATTGATCCAACACTGAACAATTGGTGTAGAGGAAAATATTAACTAGACAGGAACCACTCTGGGGCAGGAACTGCTCTGCTCCGCTACCCACTATTTATCCTATAGTGGTCGCTATAGTGTTCTGCACCGCCAAAACTCTTCCCATAGTGATTGGCTTCCGCTCCGCTATAGCAGCATAACACCTCTATTGGTCGCTATTGACTACTCTGACTGAGACATCATTAATAATTAATTGAATGTGACTACAATACATGAATGTGAGTTAGACACTATACATTATTTCATGCATACAAACTGAATTGTCGGTACTACCAATAGAAATGTAGTCAATCGAACTATCATGCCTCAGAGTCAGACACTATTTCATGCATACGAGCTAAACTGTTGGTACCAATAGAAATATAGTCAATCGAATTATCATCATATTTTGACCAAGATCTCGTATCGTAAATTAGACAAACTGATTTGAACCGTCAAACTATTATCAATGGTCAAGTTACTTTGTGACTACATTCACTGAAATTAAAGACAAACAGACATTCTAGGGGAAAGAATGATTACTTCTTTCGGTTTAGATTTCCTTTAACACTCATCCCCTCCAATCTTTCAACCTTCCCTATTTCATGCAGTTGTTTCCTTTCTGCCAAAGCTTTAACCGGCGGAGTCTTCAACCGAAATACCAGTTTCAATCAATCTGTTGTCTTCTAACTTTAACAGCAACTGCAAAATAAAATTCCAACGAAAAAGGCAAGAAACAAGGAATCATCAACTAATTCCAAAACTAAGCTTTTAGGTTAAAAGAATTTTAAAAAAATTAATCAAATTGACAAACCTGATGAAAATCGAAAGTAATGGGGGATTTTTCATCTTGTAACGTCAAATAAAAACCGTGTTTGCCATCATTTATCCAGAGAGTATGAGAGATTGAAGGACTTGACAAAATGCGATTTGGGGGAGAAATTATTTTTAAAAATCGATTACAGATATCAAGACTGAGGGATTGTGATTAGGGGAGAAATATAGGCTTTATGGGGAGAAAAGGGAAGCAGAAAGCGAATTATAGGCGGTAGTTTGAAGTGTGAAGAAATACGGAGGCTACTTCTATATGTTGAATGATTTCTCAATTTTGGTGTTTTAATTTTTAAAAGTTAAAATAATGAATGGCGACTGTTGCACTGAACCGCCGTAATAAGTGTCACAAGTATGTTTTCAAGGCAGTTTTTCTATAACCGTCGCAAATCAAATGTTAAAAAATTAATTTTTAAATTAATTTTTTCTTGTAGTGATATTATTACCAAAATTAATTTTAATAAAAATTAACTATTTATATAATAAAACATAACATATTTTACTATTATTTTAGACAAAAATATTAAACTGCATTGTCATGATAATTATAATAATTATTTATTAAATTAATTAATAAAATTGAAAAGGTTGAAAAATAAAAATGAAAGAAAAAAGTGGAAAATCAAAGGAATAAAAAAATAGTGATTATGATTGGCTAAAGTAATTGCGACAGTTCACCTTAACTGTCGCGAGTGTGGAAAGAGGGCGGTTCTTTGGTAACTGTCGCAATTAATTTATACAACATGTCTAAAAAATCTGCGACGGTTGGCTCAAACCGTCGTGAGAACTGTCGTAGTCCAGGAATAAGGACGGTTTTTTTTATAACTGTCACAAAAAATCTACGACAGTTGACCCTAACTGTCGTGAAAACCGTCGCAATCCATAAATAAGGACGGTTTTCTGATAACTGTCGCAACTCAAGTGTCGTAAATCTCCTTTTTTCTTGTAGTGTCCTACCTACCTTTTTTAGAAGGAATTATCTTCAAACCTTTTGTTCTGGAGTTTTCTCTACCTTTTGTAGAAGGAACTTCTTCTCCTAACCTTTTGTTCTGGAGTCCTTTCTGCCTTTACAGAAGGAAATACGATCGTATTCTTCCAAGGGAGTCTCCTCTACTTGATGTAGAAGGAGTATTTGTCTTCAAACCTTTTGTTTTGGAATCCTCTCTACCTTTTGTAGAAGGAATATTTGTCTTCAAACCTTTTTCTTCGAAGTTTTCTCTACCTTTTGTAGAAGGAAACGTTTTTCCCCAAACCTTTTGTTCGAGAGTCCTCCTTGCCTTTTGTAAGAGGAAAACCATTTTTTAGAGTCCTCTCTACCTTTCGTAGAAGGAGTATCTCAAAATCCATTTTTTAGAGTCCTCTCTACCTTTCGTAGAAGGAATATCTCACATTTATATATCTCTTGAGTCATCTCTATCTTTTGTAGAAGGAATATCTCTTGGCCAATTATGATTCCATATTACGAGGTGTCTCGCCTTTTAGCTGGCAAAGCACTCATGTTCATTCCACATTGCATATCAAGCATATCGTTATATCCCCCATAACCCTTCCTGCACTAACAAACACCTTTTTCAAACCATCTCGCTGACCGTCTACTGTCATCCTGCACCTCTCCAGTTGAAAATCTCGAGTATTCTAGTATTTAATTCTCTTCTACCATGAATGTTCGAGCACCTTTATCCTCTAGATATTCAGGTCCAAGAGGATTAAATAGGGGCAGTTGTCACACCCTCATTTTCACCATAGCCTTTCATATCTTACATTCGTCATATCATACATCCTTCTATTGCATACCGAGCACGTGGGTTTGCAAGGTAAGGTTTGAGTCGGTTTATTTTCGTTCGTTTCAAATAAGAGAAGTTTCCTATCATGGGTAACATTGAAGAAAGGTTCATCATCTATGTTTTGGGTTCAAGTTGAAAAGTATACTCATGTAGATTTCTTCATGGAGAAAATTAATTGGAAAATATTGAGGTATTCAAGATCAATGTCCCTAATGGACATGATATGCAAGGCCTAAGTCAAGATTTCTTCATCCAAACTTAGTATTGAGACTCTTGGTCAAGTGGAATTCAAATGTGCAAGACATGAGTCAAGATCACAAGTTCATAATTCAAGACTTCATCCATTTCAAATAATGGTATAAGGGAAATCCACCATTCCTAATTCAAGATTCATGAATTCAAGATTAGATTCAAGAATGTTACAAAGGTAAATTTCATGACATTTGAAGGACTGTCACATTGGTTGCAAAGTTTCCAACTCTAAGCAATGCTTAGAAAATTAAGTCATTTCTAGTCTTAATTCAAGTTTCTAACTAATTTCATGTTATGGTACCCTTCATGCCTCATCAAATCTCCATGTGTTACATATAATTCATAACCCACAAATATCCAAGGAAAATAATTAAGGTTTAATTCAACATTGGAGAATTTTAAAAGAAAAACCATTAATGTTTATTCATGGGCAATTTCAAGGAATTTTTAATTGATCCAAAACAGCCCCATGACCAACTAATTCCCAACCAAATGAACCATGTCACAAAACTTGAGGAACTAGATCATGTTGGTTCACTCACATGCCAAAATTCTGTCAAAAGGAGAGGCATGGGCCACAAGTACGACCCAAGAACAAGTGAATAAAGGAGGGCAATGCTGAAAAAATAGTACTAGGAAAGTGCAGCAGCAAAAGCAAAAAAGGAGCATGCTAGAAATGGAAAGAAATGGGGTTGCACCAAGAAAGTGGTAATAAGTATTTCCAAGTAAGGAAATTCTGAAAATTGAAGCATGTGCAAGCTCTATTATTTTGGTACAACAACAAAAGTGCAGCAGAAAAGTAAGATTTATAGGAAAAAAGGGTGCACCAAGAAATTGGCATTGGACATTTCTAAGTGCAGGAATTCTGAAGTTTAAAGACATGTGCAAATCCTAATGCTTCGGGTATAAAAGAAAAACAATAGCAGTAGAAAAAGGCGCCAATTTTGAAGAGAGAGATTTGAGAGCATTCATTGAGAGAACAAGAGTGGGGTAGAAAACTAGAAGAAGGAGGTGGACCACAGAAGCAAATCCAACAAA